CTTTCTTTCTTTCTTTCTTTCTTTCTTTCTTTCTTTCTTTCTTTCTTCTTTCTTTTTCTTTCTTTCTTTCTCAACCTCCTTGCCAATAGGAGGTTTCTGCCATCCAGCTGGGCCATGGACTCTCCTTCCTCCAAACCAGGACTCTTCCCTGCTCCACAGAACTGTCCTGACCCAAACGAACAGATTTGGGAACTCCAAAAACCCCACCCTTTCTAGCAAATGGTACCCAACACAAGTTACAGGTGGCAGGGGTTGCCTCAACCCACAAGCCCCTGCTCCTGCAGTCCATTTGCAAGCCTCTTTGGCTGCAAATGTGCTTGGTTGCCCTCCAGCAGCACAACAATCATTAAATAATAGTAATAATAATAATGATCATGATCATGATAATGCACTTTTATCAAACCTGCTCAGCTGATACAAGAAACCAGGAGCCCCCAATTTCCGGCCCCTGCATAACCACCCAAAACTGAATTGTACAGTTTACTGCCAAGCTCAGCAGCACAATTTTTACCTGTTTGGAAAACGTTGCATGCATTGGAAATATAATTTAAGGAAAGGAGTGATCCCTGCTTCCTTCTTTGACATGGCCCGAGACAAAAGTTCTCCAATTCTTGCTATTGTTCAGCTGGGCAACCCGCCTGCCAAGAAACCCCCTGGGCCCCATAAGTGGAATCTTCTTCCCATCCTCCCCTTGCCCCACAGATCCTTTTGCCCCCCCCCCCCAAATGCAAAGAAGAAATGGAAGCTGTAGCACCCCAAACCTCCTTGGAATCCGCGTTTTTTACTTTTGCGTCTCCTGCCCAGCCCTTCTTGGAAGACCCGAGAGGAAAAAAAAGACCGAGAAGAGGAGAAGGGGAAAAGCAAAAAAAACCAACAACAACAGTGGCGATCGCTCTGCTTTTGAGGGAGGAGGTGGAAGAGGATCGAATGAGAAAGCGGGATGGTGAAAGCAGAGGGAAGGAGGGAGGGAAAAAAAAAGGAAAGGCAAAGCGATGGGCTATGTAGTCATGCTCCCCTTTCCCACTCCCTGCGATGCGTTGCTTGCACATTACGGCACGATAAGATTGGGTCTAAGCGCAAATCAGTCACTCCCAGCAGCTATGTGGCTAAATAGAGAGGGGGGTGGGGTGGGAGAGAGAGAGAGAGAGAGAGACAGAGACAGAGAGAGAGAGAAGATTAAGAGAAAACCCTTCTGCCTTCCAGTTCAAATCCATGGTCCACACCGGTTTCCTCTTTCCAAAACCACCAGGAAGAGGCCCACGTTTCCTCGGATGGGTTTAAGCTTGTGTGACAGGCTGTTCTTCCTTCTTCCTTTTCTTCTTTCCTTCTTTCCTTCCTTTCACCCCCCACCCCACCCCACCCCCACCTCCTGGTGCCCCTCTCCCCACTCGCTGGAGCTCTTCCCCCCCTTCAAAGCGACACAAAATCCACAGCTTGCAACAAGGGGAGGGAGAGGAGCAGCAAGAGGAGCCAGGAGGTGTTCTGCATGAAGACGCTGATCCCGGCGCATCTCGCCAAGTGGGCTGTCAAAAGGGAAAGGGAAAGAAGAGAGTCAGAAAGGGGTCTTGGAGGTCTTCTAGTCCAACCCCCCCCCACCCCTTCCACCTTTGCTCAAGCAGGAGACCCTACCACCCTTCCAGACAAAAGGTGGTCTTGGGCTCTTCTTGAAAACTTCTTGGGATGGAGTATTCACAGCTTCTGAGGAAAGCCGTTTCATGACAGCTGCAAAAAAATGCCTAAATAATCCGTTCAGATTATTTCAGATTATTAGGGGACAGAAGTGACTAGCACATATGTGTGAGGGGAACCTAAAAGTAAAGGTTCCCCTCACACATATGTGCTAGTCACTTCTGGCTCTAAGGGGCGCTGCTCATCTCCGTTGCAAAGCTGAAGAAGAGCCAGCGCTGTCCGAAGACGTCTCCGTGGTCATGTGGCCGGCATGTTCCCTTCCCACCAAAGGGGTCTCAATTTTTCTACTTGCGCTTTTTACATGCTTTCGAACTGCTAGGTTGGCAGAAGCTGAGACAAGTAACGGGAGCTCACTCCATTACGCGGCGCTAAGGATTCGAACCACCGAACTGCAGGCCTTTCTGACCGACAACCTCAGCGTCTTAGCCCCTGAGCCACCACATCCCTCTCAAGAGACGTGAGGATCTTCTTAATGACTGCCATGACTTATTTCCTGGCTCCGTTTGAGGACTATCTACAGGTAACATTATTTGTGCAATAAGTGTAGGGTTTGCTCCGTGTTTACATAGCTTGCTCCGTCCATATTGGGATTGTGGTTTTCTCCTTGGCAATTGCTTCTTCTACCTAGATCACCCAACCAAGAAGAGCTCATTTCTTCTTGGGTCACCTGTCCAGGTGTCCAATTGCTCTTTCTGCCAGACGTTTCTCCTACTATCTGACTCAACTTTCCTGTAACTTCCACCCACCTTCTGTCCCCTAGAAGGATAGAGCCTCTCCTTACATGCTTGGGGTTCTCTTCCTTCCACTGTGAGAGAAGCAGTGGCAGAACTTGGGGCAGAGTGAAAAGAGAGATCAGCCTAGAATCTCCACATAATCACAAGCAAACTAAGCCCAACCTCCCTTGAACTCGGTTGACCCTTGTTTAACTTCAAGCAGGTTAGTGTCAACTCATAAAATATTTCCATGGTCTTTTTAGAGTTACCAACAGAAAGGGAGGGGGGAGGAGTGCAGCAGCTTGCAAAGCCGAAACCGCATTCCACAAATGTTTTCAAAGATAGTAACTAGGTGACTGAAGTTTCTGCTGCACAAAATTCTAACTGGAGAGCATGATTGATCACTCTTGGCTATGGATGTGTCCCATTGGAGAATATGATTTATGATACACTCAGATGGAAGAAGGGGAAAAACCAGGGTCAAGGGTGACAATAAATTATGTGCCTCAGACTTGGCTACACCCAGGCAGTGCCGGCATGTTAACTGCCAATAAATCTTTTTTAAGTTTGGAAGTTTGGCTGGAGACTCATGATTTAAATGGGAGTAACTGCCGGAATCCTGAGAAGATCCCTCGGCACGAACTGTTTAGCAATCAATCAGTTTCATTGGACCTTCACATACAGACCTGGTCTTTCCCGTCTGACCTCTGCTCTCACCTTTGACCACAGAGATGTTCTTGGACTGCATGTCTTCGTAATCGTTGGTGATCTTCAACATGCAAGTGTAGGCTCCCTCATCGCTGGTGCTGAAGCCAGAGAGATACAGGCACACGAGGTTGTTGGTGACACTGACGTTGGTGCGAGGCTTGTAGGAAGCGCTTGCTACGTTCAAGTTGCCAGCCACAACTGTTTTATCGGTAAACCCCTTGGACAGGTAGAATTCGTAGGACAGAGGGTTGGTGGTTTTCCGTTCGTAAGCACAGTCTATCCGCAGGGTTTGATCGGTCAAGCAAGCGGTTAGTCTTTTGATCCGTTGGCCATGGCTGACTTGGAGCACTAAGGAAGGAAATAAGAGAGTAACAGAAGAGTTGGTAGGGACCTGGGAGGTCTTCTAGTCCAACCCCATGCTCAAGCAGGAGACCCTCGACCATTTTAGACAAATAGTTGTCCAATCTCTTCTTAAAAACGTCCAGTGTTGGAGAATTCACAACTTCTGGAGCCAAGTTGTTTCACTGATTCTTTGTTCTAACTGTCAGGAAACATCTCCTTAGTTCTAGGTTGCTTCTCTCCTTGATTAGTTTCCATCTGTTGCTTCTTGTCCTGCTTTCAGGTGCTTTGGAGAAGAAGTTGACTCCCTCCTCTCTGGGGCAGCCCCTCAAGTATTGCAAGACTGCTATCATGTCACCCCTAGTCCTTTTTTTTCATTAAACTAGTCAGGGATGATTATCTTCACCTTGGGCTGAGCTAGTGGTAGGATGACTGCAGTATTGAACGAACAACCACTGGTTAATCAATCCTTTGGCTAGATTCAAGGGCCAAAACAACTTTAACTAAGGATGAACCAACATCTGGGTAGCATCGAAGTACCAAAAGAAGAGAATATTTATAGCTCAGGGTTGAACTGTGGGGTCCTTGGTGCTCTCTGAGCTTGGTGGTTTTCTTGCAGATGTTTCATGACCCAACTAAGTAACATCATGAGTGCTAGAAGGGAGAATAGGGGGAGGAGGAGGAGGAAGAGGACTATGGGGTCCATGTTGCTGCCTGAGCTTGGTTGTTTCCTTGCAGATGTTTCATGACCCAACTAGGTAACGACATCATCAACGAAGGAGTTACCTAGTTGGGTCATGACACAGCTGCCAGAAAACAACCAAGCTCAGGCAGCAACATGGACCCTACAATATCGATGTGTTACTTTTAAGAATTAAAAGAAACAAGGGGCAACCTTGGTTAAATGAGGTCATACGTTAAAACAATCCACAATCCCCCATTAAAAATAATCACCTACTCATCCCAATGGTAAATGAAAGAGTTTAACAAATTAAAAGCGGTTTCTTTATTACTCTTAGAGGGAAAAGGGACATCTGTACACCTTCGTGCATACCTCATATCACCTAAAAAGAGGGCATAGCACATCTGTCTCTGCTTCAAAGAGCCAAATCACGTGCAAATCGGAAGCCCTTCCCTGACCAAGGGCAGATTTCCCAAGGATCTTAATTTCCATGCAAATAGAAAATCCAGAGGCTTGGAGGTTTTTTTTTTTTTAAGGTCAGCTCTATATAAGGCTCAACTGCTAGCAGGAATCCATATGTAGAGCACGACAGGCTAAATATATATAAAGGTTGCACAAGTTAAAAAAAGAAGTGTATTAGACCACACAGAGAAAGAGGCTGAGTTCATATAATGCTTCTCAACCTTGGCAATTTGATGAGGTCTGGACTTCAACTCCCAGAATTCCTCAGCCAGCGTATGAATTCTGGGAGTTGAAATCCAGACCTTTCAAATGGGTGGAAGGAGATTTCCCTGTGTTTTTATTTTCCCCTAAAGCCGTTTAGAAAAAAGCCCCCCCCCCCCCATGCTCAAATTTAACAGATAAACCTTCATGGATGAAATCTTTATTATTTGGAGAGATTTTTGTCAAGAAGAAAAAAAGTGCTCAGCGTATTTTCTTTAGATACTTTCTGTCAACTCATAAAATATTTCTATGGTCTTTTTTAGAGTTGCCAACAGAAAGGGAGAGGGGGGGCAGTGTGGCAGCTTGCAAAGTGCATTCCATAAATGTTTTCAAAGATAGTAACTAGGTGACCGAAATTTCTGCCGTGCAAAGATCTAACTGGAGAGCATCATTGGTGACTCTTGGCTATGGATGTGTCCCATTGGAGAATATGAATTATGATACACCCAGAGGGGTGGGGGGAAAACCAGGGACAAGGGTGACAATGAATTATATGAAGTGAGGGGAGCCGAAAGACAACTCATAAAATATTTCTAGGGTCTTTTTCGAGGTGCCAACAGAAAGGAAGGGGGGAGCAGTGCGGCAGCTTGCAAAACCGAAACCGCATTCCACAAATGTTTTCAAAGATAGTAACTAGGTGACCGGAATTTCTGCCGTGCAAAATTCTAACTGGAGAGCATGATTGATGACTCTGGGCTATGGATGTGTCCCATTGGAGAACATGAATTACGATACACCCAGGGGGTGGGGGAAAACCAGGGTCAAGGGTGACAATGAATTACATGTCTCAGAGCCGGCTACACCCAGGCAGTGCCAACATGTTAACTCCCGATAAATCCTTTCGAAGTTTTGGAAGTTTGTCTCGAGACTCACGATTTAAATGGGGGTGACTGTCGGAATCCTGACAGCTAGCCAACTCTGAGATACATAACTTTCAGGATGGGTGCAAAATGCAAACAGACAGGTCTCTTTAACACAATCCCTGCTGAAGCTCCACACAGATGGTCCTCGATTTACAGCGGTTCTTTTATGTGACTGCCTGAAGTTGCAGCAGCACTGAAAAACCAACTTATGACCGCTTTTCACACTTACGACCGTTGCAACATCCCCATCGTCATGTGATCAAAACTCAGATGTTTGGCAACTGACTCATTTTTATGACGGTCATAGTGTCCTGGGGTCATGGGATTCCCTTTCTCACAAGCAATGTCAATGGGAAACCAGATTCACTTACTAACTCAACAGCTGCACTGATTCACTTAACGTCGGGCGCAAGGAAGGCAGGAAATTGAGGGCGAAACTCACTTAAAAGCTCCCTTGCTTAACGATGGAAGAAATATTGGGCTCCATTGTGGTCATAAGTCGAGGACTACCTGCACTAGGTGTTCAAAATCGGAGAGAGAAGTGAACAAGCACAGCTTTAGGAAAAGGTCATTTTCGGGAATTGGATGTGTTCAGACCAGACAGTTGCTGCCTGGGGCCACCAGGTGGCAGCACCTGGCAGTATCTCTTAGTTTAGTTTATTGTCATGGCACCTCATACAACAAAATTAAATACCATCTTCAGTGTTCATTATAACCATGAAAATAAACACAAACACACATCCTTCACATTCTACGCATTGAATTGAAAACCTCTGATATTGCATTAATATTGCACTCTACAGTAGAATTCAACAGAGCTACTGCCCTGGGATAGAAGCTGTTTTTCAGCCTATTTGGCCTTGTTTTTATTATTCTCTACCTTCTGCATAGTTCAAAAAAAGGGGGTGCCCAGGATGTGATGGATTTTTGAGAATGTTTTGAACTTTCTTAAGGCAGCGGGAGCTCTAAAGCTCTTCCAAAGAGGGGAGAGGGCAACCCATGATCCTCTGGGCAATGACGTTCACCCTCTGGAGCGCTTTCCTATCTGCCCCTGTGCAATTGGCAGCTTTTTTTTTTCTTTTTACCTGCCAAAAGGAGAGCCAGGCTGACCGTTGATCTCAGCATTTTCCCAAGTGTGTGTGGGGGGGTCACTTGGCACACGGCAGCAGCGTCGGTGGAGCGAAATCTAGGAACAGAAGCAGCATATCGTTAAGGAGGCAGCGGTGCAAAATCGATTGGCAATGCTGGCCATGCCCCCTTGCCCAAAACAGATTGTGTGTGTGTGTGTGTGTGTGTGTGTGTGTGTGTGTGTGTGTGTGTGTGTGTGTGTGTTTTCTTAAAACGCCAGCAAACGACTCCCCTCCTCTTATCTCAGGCTTCTAAAATTCTTCCTTCTGCAGGTTTTTTTTTGTTTAAATCAGCGCTTGGCTGGGCATCGTGCCAGCCAGCCAGCCAGCCAGCCACCCGTGGGAGAGAAAAGAGAGATGACTCACAAGCCCGACTTGGAAGTGGCAGAAGATTTTTATGATCTCCTGCGGTTCCAAAAAAAAAAAAAAGATTCCCAGAAATAAATTCTAGGAATTGGGGAGCTGGGGACGGGAGACCATGCCCGTTTGCTCCTTTGCCGATCTGAATGGGGTATTCCCCCCCCCCCCAGGGGCGGGGAAGGGTGGGCAGGAAGAAGCTGCGGAGAAGACTGGAAACAAACTGCAGATCTTAGAAAACCCAGTTATTTAGGAAAGGGGAGAAGCGGGAAGGGAAAGTAGGGGTGGAAATAAGAGTGGGGGAAATCTGGCGAAAGAGAATCTCGGCTTGTCCAGAAATCCTCCCCAGGAGGAAAAACGCCTGAACCCCCCCCCCCGTAATTTGTGGTTAAGGGGAGTGGAAAAAGCCAAGCTTTGGATGCTGTGCAGCTGCATCCCATTTCGGGGGCTGGTCCTTCTCGGCAGCAGAGGCTGAGGCTGGGATCCAGGGGTCTGGCTGGGGTAGAGAAGGGGGCACAGGGCGCGCCCCTCTCACGCCCGCCCTTTCAGAGGGAGGCGGGACGGACGGACGGCCTTGGGCGAGGGAGCTTCTCTTGCAGACCCAGGCTCGCCTTTCTCCTCCTCCCTATCCCCTCGTTTCGTGCCCATCTAGGCCGGCTTTAAAGGGGACGCTGCACGCTGCGCGGTCTGTTGGTCAAAGCCCCGTCGGCGCAGCGCAACACGGCGGATCCTGCGGCATTCCCCGGGCGGGAGCACATGCGCGTTTTGCGCCGTCCGGGTCGGCCCAAAGGGCAGCCCGGCGCGCTAGCGCTGCGGCAAATGATCTGGCTTTGCGCAAAGTGACCTCCCGCCGCCCGGGATCCGCCCGGGATCCGCCCTGCAGCCCCTCGCCTCGCTTGGGCCCGACACTCCCGCCCCTTCTCCCCACCCCTCCTCGGGACTCCCGCAGCCTCCCTCCCCGCCTGAGCGCCCGCTGTCTGGAAAGGTCCCCTCGCCTCTTTGCGTCTCCATCACTTTGGACAGCTCCCGTTTGGTTTCCCGGCCCCTCTCTTGCTTTCCGACGCTTTCCCACTTGCGTGTCGGGACTGAAGGGAGGGACCCTCCAGACGGAGGGACCTCCGGGGCTGGGGGGAAGGGTGGCTGCCAAAGCCCCTCGGGCGGAGACAGAAGAGAACCTGGCCAGCCTGCTTCGCCCTGCCCAACTCTTTGCGCCTTTCCTCGCCCTTTCTCCAGCGTCCTTCGCCCCGGACGTTCCCCCTCCCGTTTGGTGTCTGCCACTCTCCCCTCGTCCGTAAGTCGCTTGGGGATGATGGAGCCTGGAGTCTCTCCATCCCGTCCGGCTACTCCCGGGCTGGGGGCGCCGGGGTTGGGGCTGCCTGCCCGGGAGGGGCTGGGGAATGCGCGCTTACTAGCCAGTTACGCGCTCCGCTGCGGGAAGGATGCCCGCCTCCGTCTGCTCCCCTTCCCTTCATTGCGCCCGCTCCTCTGCTTTTATTCCCAGCCGGAGGAAGAGGAGCGGAGAAGCCGAGGCTGCCTGCAGCTCCCCCTCGCCTGCCTGTTGCACCCCGAGGCTCCCCTTCCCCGTCCCGCTGCCTCGCGCGCCCCGTTACCTGCAGCCAAGAGCCGCTCTCTTCCCTTCTGGCGCAGGCTGGGTCGGATGCACTAGGCGCCTCTGCGAAAGGGGCGGGCTTCCCAATAGACCCCGCCCTTTCTCACAACCCTCCCCGCCTCTGCGGTACCCGGGCGGAGAGCCTGCAGCAGCTCGGGTGGGGTGGGGGGTTTCTGCGCGTGCGCCAAAGCTGAGTGGTCGGGGTTTTTTTGGGGGATGGGTGGGTGGAGGGGCGTCTCGGATTGTTTTGCAAGGGCGACTTGGAGCTTTGGGAGCCGATGGGAGTCTGAGGGTCTGGGAGATGCCTGCAGGGGTCCTTCTCAGGGCGTTTGGGGTGGGATGGGGTGGAAAGTGATGAGGGTCAGGGACTTCGTGCCACCAGGAGAGACCCGTTTTCCTCCTGGTTTCGGGACGGGGGGCGGGCGGGGGGAGAAGGAGGAAACGCCATCTCTGACTGGGCATTTTCACACCTGCAGTAGCAGCCCCTCTAAGGAGCGGCTCCGGCCTTCTTGCCAACCAGGGCTGACTTGGCAAGCGGCAGGATTCCTGTCTAAGCCTGCCCAGCCTGGCCCTCAGCTGGGGTTGAAGGGGGGGGTGAGCTCTTCCGGCCCCCGTCTTGTGACAGAAAGATGGGAGACTTTGCAAAGAGAATTGGGGAAGGGATTCTTGGGCTTGCTAACTAAGGGTTTGAGATTCCCAGTCTTCCAGGTCATGGTTGTCCCATCGCTTGAGACTTTCAAGAAGAGACTGGACTGCCATCTGTCCAAAACGGTGTAGGGTCTCCTGCTTGGGCAGGGGGTTGGACTAGATGACCTACAAGGTCCCTTCCAACCCTGATGATCTGTTATCTGATGTCCCAAAAGTGCTTTTTTTTTTTTTCAGGAGGCAACTGGACTTTCTCGTTTGTTTGTTTTTCTTTTGAAGATGTTTCGCTTCTCATCCCAGAAGCTTCTTCAGCTCTGACTGGATAGTTCCATCCTTCCCTTCCCCACCATCCTGTCAGAAGCTTCTGGGATGAGAAGCGAAACATCTTCAAAACAAAACAAAAAAAAAAACCCCAAGAAAGTCCAGTTGCCTCCTGAAAAAAGCACCTTTGGGACAACCAGGACCTGGATGACTGAGAATCTCCACAGACTTTTGGCTATACAATTTGGGATGGACACCCTTTGGATGGTGTGGGAGTAGGAATGGATTTCTAGAGGAAAAAATTGCAGACTCCAGGAACCAGGAGCACCACTCAGGTGACCCTGAGGACACAGATGAACCTCCAAGTGGCCTCAACGACCCTCCAAAAGGATGCAAATGACCAGCTGTCTTGCAAGGAATATTGTCATGCCCCTATTAGAATTTGACTCCAAGGGAGAGGAGGAACAGCCGACAGGGAGTGGGACTGTGGCTCCGGAGGTTGTGGAGGAAACTGGGGAAGGGCACGGGCCGGCTGGGCATTCAGAGGAAGACCTAGGCCCATCCCCTCTGCATCCTAGGACATGCATGAAGGAGCGGATAAGGGAGAAATGTGAATGGCGTGGTCTATGGGGGAGGAAAGGGCCTTGATCCCCTTCATGGGCTGCAGCTGTGAGGACTGTTTGAAAGGACAAACTGCACATGGCCCAGTGCTGGAAGCAAAGCGTGAAATAATTCTAGCCTTTCCGTTCTTATCTGAGTTTTGGCATCTTTCGCAGGTGTGTATTTCGATATCTGTGGACGTCTTCAAGCCCTTATCCTGCCTTGTCTCAATTGCTTCAGTGTGGTTTGTGTTGTTTTTTTTCTATTTATAATTTATATGCATTTTGAGTTTGAACAGAAGTTCTTCCTTTTTGCAACTGTTTGTGGGGGGAGTTTTTTCTCCAGTCAATGATAATTGGACATTTGAAGCCAAGTTGAAGGAATTAAAGGGGCTTCACCTGTTTTTGTGACTTTGTTGCTTTTGTATCTCACCCTGGATCATCACAAATATAAATAAATGGTCATTTGCATCCTTTTAGAGGGTCATTGAGGCCACTTGGAGGTTTTTCTGTGTCCTCAGCAGAGTTGGATATTCAGCAGGTTCTGACCAGTTCTGGAGAACCGGTAGCAGAAATTTTGAGTAGTTTGGAGAACCCCAATCCCACCTCTGACTGGAGATTTTACAGTATCCTTCCCCTGCCACGCCCACCGAGCCACGCCCACAGAACTGGTAGTAAAACAAATTTGAATCCCACCACTGGTCACCTGAGTGGTGCTCCTGATTCCTGTAATCTGTAATTTTTCCCCCCGCATGGAGGTTTTTAAGAAGAGACTGGACAACCGTTTGTGTCTGAAATGGTATAGGGTCGTGGGTGGGATTCAAATTTTTTAACAACCGGTTCTGTGGGTGTGGCTTAGGTGGTGGGCATGGCTTGGTGTTCATGTCACTGGGTGGGCGTGGCTTGGTGGTCATCTGACTGGCTGGGTGTGGCCAACTCAATATCATTCACATCGAGGCACGCATCTCCTTGCCTGGCCTCTCATGACTGTGGGGATGCTGCAACAGTCGTAAGTGTGAAAAATGGTCATAAGTCACTTTTTTCAATGCCATTGTAACTTTGAATGGTCCCTCCACACAAGCAAAGGACCAGCAAAGGAGGGGAAAAATAACTCCAGAGACGTTCCAGAGACAGGAAGTCTAGTCCTGCCAAGAATGTAATAAGGGTTAACGGAGAGGCAGTTCTGTAAGCAACACCAGAATGTTTTTCTCTTCTTCTTCTTCTTCTTCTTCTTCTTCTTCTTCTTCTTCTTCTTCTTCTTCTTCTTCTTCTTCTTCTTCTTCTTCTTCTTCTTCTTCTTCTTCTTCTTCTTCTTCTTCTTCTTCTTCTCAGTCAAGGCTGGCCTGGAAGTGATTTGCCTTCTTAAATAAAATCAAGGAAGCCAATTCCTTTCCGAGCAGATGGAGAAGTTTTAAGAACTGGGAGCAGCTCCTGGCTTCTTCCCCAGAAAGACGTGTTATTTTGAAGGCTGATGGATGGAAGAGGAAGTGCCAAGTGTGTAGGAGAAACTGGGGCATCTCTCCAAGGGAAGGAAACGGCGTCTTTTATGGAATGGCATCTCAGAAATGTGCCAACATTTAATGGAACTCAAAGGCTCCAACTCATCACTTGTCCTATTTGCATTAATAATAATAATAATAATAATAATAATAATAATAATAATAATAATAATAATAATAATAA